GCTTTGAGAGGGAGAGAGAGAGAGAGAGGGGGAGGGGTAAAGAGAGAGGGGGAGGGGTAGAGAGAGAGAGCAGGTACAGTCAAAAATGAAGTAAAACAATTCTAGGTGGAGTAATAACGACTTCTTCCAAACTGTTGCACTAACTGTGTAGCTAAACCTAAAAGTATTGAAATTAAAAATATGAATTTTTAAAATTAAATTATCTCAAATACTGATACTCATACCATACTGATAGAGATACTTACTCTGTCCATATGACGGCAATGACGACTGAGCGTCCAGTCCACAAACTATAGTACTATAGAGTAGTCATAGAGCCTAGACTTACGCTGGTTTATTTTATTCGCTCTGCATGCCAGAAGATACAAAGAATTTCAGTTACAACGCACTGGGTGCCTGTGTTACTGAAATGCAACGACACCCGTTACAAATCAGCAGCAGCGCTGAGAATGAAATAAACTCTGTCAGTGAAGAAATCCGAACCGTCACGCCAGATGCTGGCAACTCGAACTGAACCTTGTCGCAGTGTAAACAAATCGACGGCCACTACAAAACTGTCACCAAACTACAAATTACGGAACATAATTATTAAATGTAAAGAAAATACGGTAATAATTTATGTATCAGTTTCAGTTATTATTTATACTTTATTGTCTTTCTTGTCGTTTATGTGTTTTATGTATATTTTAAGATTATCTTTAGTCTTGAAAAGTTGACATGTATGTATTGTTTCTTCGCATTCTGGTACAAGCATTTTAGCCTACCTCTGCTTCGAAATCCATCATCATCATCATGATCATACCCGTCCCGACATAGGACATCGTCTTTGACAGCGGTTCTCAAACTGGGTGCCGCGGTACCTAGGGGTACAGCGTACATATGCCAGTTGTGCCATGGCAGAAAGAATTTTTTCAAAATCTGCTTGAGATCAGCAAAGATAGCAGTTTAAAACAGAAACACCGGGAATGAAACCAAAAAGAGTAATGGATGCAAGTGTATTCAGAAGACAATGCTATTGGCAGGGCTACAGTGCATTCTCAACGTACGCTTAAAAAAAAAAAAAAACCAGATACAGAAGCAAACTTTCTGGGTCAAGTGATTTGAGAGTAAAATAGTGTTGTGATGTCATTTCTTGAATCAACTAAAATACACTCTACTGCTGTATTTATGTATACGTCCTTCTTCCTATCTCTTTTGTTTCCTAACCAAGACCACGCTTAGACCACGCAAGAGATGGAGCGACACCATCAGTAGCAACCTAACAAAAATGAAAATCAACTTGTACAATGCATTGGGAAAAGCGCACAAACGATCGTTACATCTCTCCCCAACACCTCGCTGAGGTAAATGGTGGAAGAGAAGAAGAAGAAAAAGAAGAAGAAGAAGAAGAAGAAGAAGAAGAAGAAGAAGAAGAAGAAGAAGAAGAAGAAGAAGAAGAAGAAGAAGAAGAAGAAGAAGAAGAAGAAGAAGAAGAAGAAGAAGAAGAAGAAGAAGAAGAAGAAGAAGAAGAAGAAGAAGAAGAAGAAGAAGAAGAAGAAGAAGAAGAAAAAGAAGAAGAAGAAGAAGAAGAAGAAGAAGAAGAAGAAGAAGAAGAAGAAGAAGAAGAAGAAGTGCTATATTGTGGAACAGGCAGAGTTTTTTTTATCTTGCCATGCGCAGTACTGGCACTCTTTTAGGCATCACTACTTTAAATATATATTTTAAAAAATCTCATCATTAAGGAAGACTGGATAATAAACAGCATCTTGTCCTGGAAGCTGAACTATTTTTGTCATATCAAGCGCCACTGTGGTTTGGGAAAACTAATAGCAGAAGGCACGGTTCCAGGAAGGAGGAGCAGGGGTCGACCAACACGCAGATGGGCACACCATATAAGTGACTCATTAAATATGAAAGTACACTGGGGTTGCCGAGAGACCGAGTTTCTTTGAGGCAGACAGTGGTGGGAGCGACGTTCTGCAAAGGACCTGCTACATTTGACTTTCAATACTATTATATTAGATACTTTGTAGGCAGTATCAGTACTATTTAATAAATCAATCAATCAGGTGCCGTCTCCACAATGAAGGTTGGCTGCAATGGATCTCCAACCAGCCCTGTCTCTTGCCCTTGATGTACATTCACTCATACTGCTGTTCGTCCATCTCTTGATGTTATCCTCCCATTGTAACGCTGTCTGCCTTTTGCTCTCCTACCTTGAACCTTTCCCTCTAGGATGATCTTTACAATACTGTTATGTCTATTTAATACACTTTTCTTATGGAAAAAATCCTAGGGTATTGGGAAGCATATAAAATCACAGCCCATGGCGATTGCAAATGTGACTAGCAAGACTTGAAGCGCTCTTTGAGTCCCATTGGGTTTAGCATCACAGGCCCATGGTGTAGTCAAAAGAGACGTAAAATCAGCTCATCGTGCGTTCATTGGGCATCTAGGCAGTAACCTATGAACGTATAATGCGTTCCTTGGGACTCAAAGAGTCTTTCAGAATTAAACCATGAGATTTCATTAACTGCGTTGCCATCGCCACACATTTGTTGCGCTTCTTCTTATACACTCAGTCCTACTTAGAGCCAGGAAAGGTTTGACAGCACTCAAGGTGCTAGCAGCAGCTGATATTGAACAACGTCTACTTTTCCTTCTCTATCAAGGGCTTGTGCTTAGCGTCATTGACTATGGTCTCGGCCTCCTCACTGTCAGCAAAACCCAGCTAGAAAGACTGGACCGAGTACAGAATGAGGCCATGAGACTCATACTCGGCTGCACAAAAGACACCTCCTGCAACGCCATGCGTTATATCCTGGGTCTGCCGACTATGACAAGCAGATACAAAGTGGCACAGGTCAAGGCTTACATGAGGGTATCGGCAGATGTTAACCACCCATTACACAAAGCTATTCACGACACAAAAGGAACGCGTCTCAAAAGGGGCCGCTCTTGGATGGCAAAGGCTGAGGACTTAATCCAGCAGGTATGTGACCTAGACGTGATCCCACGGAAAAGAATGGACGAATACACCAGTAGACATGCATGGCATTTCTAAGGTTGTCATCACACTCGGAAGGTACTGCAGGGATCAAATTCCCGCGGCGGTAGACACAGAAGTAAGGGAACTGAATCAGCTCAGACCCAGAAGTCATCTACACAGATGGATCTGTGAAGCGCGGATCATCATGGGCATACACAGCGCAAAGAAAGGGGAAAACAATACATGATCACACGTCAAGCATGACAATGGAAATAGCCGCTGCTTCTAGAGCTTTAGCATGGGTATCCGAGCAAACCGCCAACAGGTAGATTGTCTCAGACTCAATGAATATGCTTCAGAAGATGCAACAGGCAGTTGCGTTCTGAATGGATAGAAAGCATCAGGAAATCGCACTTAACCTCCGTAACCTGGATCTACCACCGGGTCATGCGGGCGTGAAGGGAAATGAGCGAGCAGACCAACTGGCAAACTGCACTAATGATTGCAGGAAAAAGTATGGACAGAGCGACATAGTCAACGCTGTCGTGCTAGTGGAGAATGAGGAATCCCTGACACTAACACGATTGCGTGACAGCATTGGTGCTTCTAGGCGTCTTCGAGGCCGAGAAAGGAGACAATATAACCAGCTTCTCATGGGGGACAATTAGTAGAATGCTGCTTCGGAGAACTGAGCACGCATGGGTATGCCCAATGTGCAGTGACATTAATTGTGATAACAGAACATAAAATAACATCTTAGTAGGGAGTCAGCAGTACGAAACCCAAGTTCAAGGTGTCTCCTTCGTGCCAAAGAACTGCATGGCTGTTGGGTGAACAGTCGTTAACGAGGGCAGGCAGGTCGTTGTAGGGGCGACGCCTGCTGGTGGATGTAATGCCTAAGTCCCTTCCCCAGCTAATAATGAGGGTACTGCTGGGGTGACCGTTTATTAACCCTCATATAATTCTTCGGTCAAAATAGACGCTGTACGGACCTTTTTTTTTTTTTTTTTGGCAAATATTTTTACGGTGCCGTTGCATCGCCCAGCTTCTGAGTTGAGTGCATGGCACTGTGAGCTGCGTTTGTTTTTCGTTGCACAGGAGCGGAGCAAGTGTGGGGTGACCCGTTTGCTATGAAGCTGAAACTAGGATTACCAGATTACCAGATTACACTCAGTCCTTAATCTTTCTGCTAACATTTTCTCATGTATCCCAATTGCCTGCCTGTTTTCCACTACTACTACACCCCTTTTCCCCACCCCATACAACACGACCCATAGCGTCCTATTCCCACTAATCCACATGTACCATTCATGTCCCGCCTACAATACCTTTATGTCCTCGCAGATGACGAGTTTTTGGATAATTCTGGCATCAACAAGAGATACCCCGGTAGTTGAATGTTGAATTAAAAATCGACGTCACGCACTATGGTCTGACGAGAGTGGTGCTGCGAGGAGTTACCAGGGAATCTGGCCGACGCTCAACACTCAGGGAAAGGCGAGACGGATACACAATAAGACAGTTACTGGTATTATCGAAATTTTAACTCTTCGATTGCTGCTGAAGATAGGGACGGAGCGCTTTTGAGGGGGGTCCCGAGTCCTGTGATGTCGATTCTTAATTCAACAACTCTCTGGGCTGGGTTTCTGTGTTCTTATCTGCCATGCTTTCTTGACAACATGGAGAGATGACAGAAAGGGAAAAGGTGGGGACAGAAAGACAGAAATAGTGAAAGACATAATGGCAGACATCGTGGATGACAGGGCAGGTAGCAGGAAGGGAGACCGGCAAGGAAGGACAGGGGGTTCGTTTGAGATGGGACAGAAAGGAGCTTTGATTTCGTTTATAACCTCTGGTACAATTTTTCAGTCACAGCAGAAATGGAGCGGAGTAGTGCCCCCTGTTTACATCACCATGATGACATCTTCGACGTTGTTGATTAACTCCCTACCTTTGCGAACAGAGATTGTGCACAACGAATTAAATGATCATTGCTGTATTTCTAGTGTGAGAAATAAGTGATTCCATTAAAATGAAGCTCATACACAGGGATATTGATAAAAACAATTCAGGGTAAGTGTTGAAAACCTGTCAAATCAATCACAGTCACACAGACTCGCGCAGTAGACGGGGATAAAATTAAAAAGTGAAAAAAAAACCACTAAAGATAGTCAAAGTGAAAGATTAGGCGTTCATTTAATTTTTAATTATTAATAAATAAAGTTATTTGAACGTAATGATAATAGTTAGTGTTTGTTAAAGATTTGTAAATTACATTTTTGTTAACAAATTACAAACATTACATTTGTTTTATAAAGTTTAAAAAAGATCTCCCTCAGTCACAAGCGACAAGTCAAGCTGGTATAATATATTCAAATTATAAATACCCTGGTGAAACAGACATTGTGTGAATGTAGTGGATTGTGTGTTTCAACTCGAAGGATTCATTTATTTGCTTTATTTTAATCTGTTGCTGCTACTGTAGTGTGCATCTATTATTCCCAATTAGTCCACTCTTACAACATGCTTTTGGGTAGGCAGTGGATGTATTCTTGTTTTCCCTATAATAGGGCCCCGACAATCACACAAGGAATTGTGCAATCTATAGTTTGAGTCTTTGTTCAAATCACAATAGTGAAACAATGCTTTGATATTTTAAATTAAGGCTATCCTCCGAAGAATAGCCACATATTATGGTGGCCAAAAACACACCCTGACAGGGCCTTAATCACATGTAAATTGCCGACTTCCTCCGACGTACACATTGCGGCAAAACTAGGATTACTGTCTGTTGCATATCTGCCTTGAATGCTTTCAAGAAGGAGAAATGTATCAGCAAATAAAGGTCCAGTATGGTGATACGTGCCTTTCAGTCCAGTGAGGGTGTGAATGGTGTAGCGGGCCTTCGGTGGCTGCTGCAGTAGGGTCACTAAGTAGTCAGTCCAGTGAGTGTATGAATGGTGAAGCGGGCCTTTGATTGCTGCTGCATTAGGGTCACTAAGTTGTCATGTCAGTCCAGTGAGTGTGTGAATGGTGTAGCGGGCCTTCGGTGGCTGCTGCAGTAAGGTCACTAAGTTGTCAGTCCAGTGAGTGTATGAATGGTGTAGCGGGCCTTCGGTGGCTGCTGCAGTACGGTCACTAAGTTGTCAGTCCAGTGAGGGTGTGAATGGTGTAGCGGGCCTTTAGTGGCTGCTGCAGTAGGGTCACTAAGTTGTCAGTCCAGTGAGGGTGTGAATGGTGTAGCGGGCCTTTAGTGGCTGCTGCAGTAGGGTCACTAAGTTGTCAGTCCAGTGAGGGTGTGAATGGTGTAGCGGGCCTCTGGTGGCTGCTGCAGTAGGGTCACTGAGTTGTCAGTCCAGTGAGTGTATGAATGGTGTAGCAGGCCTTCGGTGGCTGCTGCAGTAGGGTCACTAAGTTGTCAGTCCAGTGAGTGTATGAATGGTGTAGCGGGCCTTTAGTGGCTGCTGCAGTAGGGTCACTAAGTTGTCAGTCCAGTGAGGGTGTGAATGGTGTAGCGGGCCTTTAGTGGCTGCTGCAGTAGGGTCACTAAGTTGTCAGTCCAGTGAGGGTGTGAATGGTGTAGCGGGCCTTTGGTGGCTGCTGCAGTAGGGTCACTAAGTTGTCAGGTAGCGGCCTTTAGTGGCTGCTGCAGTAGGGTCACTAAGTTGTCAGTCCAGTGAGGGTGTGAATGGTGTAGCGGGCCTCTGGTGGCTGCTGCAGTAGGGTCACTGAGTTGTCAGTCCAGTGAGGGTGTGAATGGTGTAGCCGGCCTTCGGTGGCTGCTGCAGTAGGGTCACTAAGTTGTCAGTCCAGTGAGTGTATGAATGGTGTAGCGGGCCTTCGGTGGCTGCTGCAGTTGACTTTAGGGTCACTAGTCAGTGTCCTTGATCCCAGCCATGAACAGTGTGTCATAGAAGTCACAGCGCTTTGAAAACTTCTTCTTCCTAATGTCTATGCCGTCTGATGTTAGTTATGTCCTATCCACAGCCTTCTGTCTTTTGTACATTCACTCAACTCTGATACAGATTATTCTCAGTGCTCTAATGTCAGACTGGCCAGCATCTGTTTTCTCGGTCTGCCTCTCCTTGTCCCCAAATTTCCCACTGTCACGATATACTCCGGTTTTCTCTTTCTCATCACATGACCACAGAATGTAGATTCTCTCTTTCTAATTTGGGCAATTAGTTCTCTTCCCGAGTCAGTTTGTTTCAAGATGTCTTCATTACTCTTTTTATATGTCGAGGGTATTCCTATAATTTTTCTATAAAACCATGTCTCCGCAGCTTTCAAATAAGTTTTCACTAATTTACCAACTATTCGTGATTCACTTCCATATATTGAAAACTTATGTGCCACATTTATGGTTTGAGAATCAACATGGCTGTTTAGTTAGTAAATTTTCGTTATCATCATCATTAGGTCCATCACCTTGGTCCCGGAGGAAGCAGAGGACATGTGGCACACATATAATCTTGTGTCTGTTGGTGACACCATACGGTCCACCACAATCAGGTAATGGGTGTTTTGGTTCCTAATTAATATCCTACTCCAGATGACATTTTAGAGGGTATTAGGACTGGGTTTCCCGGCTTTCTGATGCTTTTAATGACCCTAAAACATCTAGAACCGGCCGTAACCCCAATCCACCTATGTCCCACGAGAGAGTGCAGCCTAGGTCCCAGGAATGCATGCAGCCTAGGTACCACGATTGCATGCAGCCTACCATGCCCTGAAATATTACTGTCCCGTGACCTGTGTATTTCCCCTGTTTAGGCTAGGATGTTAATAAAGCACCGGTGTTTTTCTTTGCTTTCTGAGCTGTCTAGGGATACAAGTGAAAGCTTAATGAAGGACTGTTCAACTGAATTTAGTCAGTGGGCAAACGTTTAGAAAATTTGGATTGTCACGGACCAGAGGTCTGAGCCCCATCATAGAAAGATCATGAATCCAGTACAAATGGTAGTGATCCGTGGACCACTTGCTAGGCTTCCGCGGGCCGGATTTAGCCCAGGGCAGCCAGTTCAATAGCCCTGCCTTAGTGCATGGACACAAGTAAGAAGACATATGGCGTTATTTCAAAGTCCTAATTAACAGGCAATAGTGCAGAATGTGTTCCTAGAAAAGTCATGATTGATTGACAGTAGTCCAGAATGTGTTCTTTAAAAGTCAGGATTACCAGTAATAGTCCAGAATGTTTTCGTTTAAAAGTCAGGATTACCAGTAATAGTCCAGAATGTTTTCGTTTAAAAGTCATGATTAACAGACAACAGTCCAGAATGGTTTCATTTAAAAGTCATGATTAACAAACAGTAGTGCGGAATGTGTAATAGTCATAATTAACAGACAATAGTTTAGTATGTGATAAACTAAGAAATGATAAACTTTGGTAGCATACAATTTATTACCTGTTAGTTAGTTAATCTTCTTCTTAGCGTGATCCGTAACTTGAGTTTTGCATGCAGATACATTTTACAGCTCCAGCTTATTTGTGTGCACACTGTTGGTTCCTTGCTTCTCAGGCAGATGCAGTCCAACTCTAAAGGAAATTAGTTGCCTCCTAAGACGTGTTTATTAGGAAAGCAGGGGTCTATTCTTTATTCTAAATAATCAAGCCCCAGAGCCAACATGGAGAGAAGTAGATGGACAGCCAGAACTTCTTCTTTTTCTTCTTCTTCATGTACACCAGCTGTAAACTCTGATGGAAAATTCTGTTCATTCGTTCACTTCTGGGCTCTACTTCTGTTCCAGAAACTGAGTGTTGCATGCACATGTTTCATAAGTCTGAGTCCTTAACATACAGACTGTTGGTTCCTTGCCTCTCAGGCAGATGTACTCTGACTTCAAAGGAAGCTCCCAGTTAGTCAGTTCTTTTGTCATGCTTTTGGGGAGGCAGTGGGCCGCTTCTTGTTTTCCACCCACAATGCGGCTCTCAAACCCACATGGGGAAGCTAGAATTGTCCACTGAAGTTTACTGCCAGTGAGTGCTAAGAAGAAATAGAGAGAGAGAGATCCCACATGGCTTTGCCTCCTTTCTAAGACCCCCCCCCCCCAATTGTAATGCAAATCACAAACTGTAAATCACGTAAAAGAAATGCATTGAAGGTTGAATTAAGAATTCACGTCATAGCACTCGGGACACCCCCATAAGCCCTTCGTCCCCATCTTCAGCAGCAAACGAAGAGTTCCAATTCGGATGGCACCAGTAACTGACTGATCGTAAATTCGTCTCGCTCTTCCCTTGAGTGTTGAGCGTCGGCCAGATCCCCTGGTAACTCCTCGCGGCCCCATCTAAAATGCATTGATAAACAGAATAACCCAGTACAGATCAGTGCCTGATGTACTCATATGTTTGTCTCTTATGATACATTCCAGAAAGGTCCAAACAGAAACCGCTACCGGCAGTGTGAATGTAAATAAGGTCCGCACAACTTTGACCATACAGGTGGAGGGCATAGATTTTGATACACAGGCTTGTGTTCTGAGAGTCAGTGGGAGAAACATCAGAGAGAACCAGTATGTCAAGGTAGTAGCTGCGGCAGTAATTGTGATACTTTAATTTTAATTTTTCATGTGTCCATGTCACCGTGGCGGAGCGGCTAGATGCTTGCCCGCGGATAGGAAGGTCGTGGGTTCGCTCCCTGGTGGAGCCGGAGTTTTTAAATCAGAATTTATCTTGACTCCCAGGTCAACCCAGCCTAGAATGGGTACCGGGTGTAGTCCTGGGAAGTAAAGCTGGCCGGCGTGCTGCTGACCACATCACCAATCCTATGCCGATTGGGCTATAAAATATAGGTTTAGCCCTATATGCCCTATACGCTTAAAGGCGTGGAAAAGGGTCCTCTACTTAACTATGTGTCCATATTCTGCTCTGTGCCACTAGCTATAGCAGGTTAATAGATTATTGATAACTGAGCTAGGGTACTCTGATAACTGAGCTAGGGTACTCTCAGTTGCCCGGTATGCCATGATGTTGTGAAGTCTCAAGGTGTCACTGACTCCTACTGTCCTCTTCTTCTTTGTCATCCTCTACCTCTTGGTTTTGGCGGGGTCCGTGGCTTAGGCGTTGCGAGTCTGACTTGTAATTCCAATGTACCGTGATTGAAGCCCACCGCTGGCTGTGTGGATTTTTATCATGGTATGGGGTGTCGCAAGTTGACCCAGCCTAAAATGGATACAAGGATGGATGTCCTGGGGAAGTAAAGATGGCTGGCGTAATGCACATTACGTGCAGATGGTCTGTAAAAATATGGGTGCTCTTCCTATATACCTGATGCGCCCAAGGTGTAAAAAGGGATCTTTACTTTTTTAACTTACTTTCTATTTTCATGCTGTACACTCTGTTTGCTTGCATTATTGGATTCACTCTCGTTAATGGCCAAACCATTTCGATCTTTGTTTTTCGATTAATTTAATTTTAGATGTTCCAATAGTTCTTGTAATTTCTTCTTTTCTCACATGATGTCTTCTAGTTTTGTTCATTGCCTATCTCAGTCATTTCATTTTGCAGGTGGTCAGTTGTCGTTTGTGTTATTTAGTCATTGACCAAGTCCAACTATGAATGACTTTGGTCATCATCATCATTATGGTTCCAGTAACCCAGAGTGTTGTTGGGTCATCGGTTGCTGTTGACTGTCTGATCAGTTCCCTCCATCTCTTTTGGTCAGATGTAGTGGACTTGTTTGCACATTTTTAGCCTGTCCATTCAGCTAAGTTCTATATCCAGGTCTTTCTTGGTTTGCCTCTCCTCCTTTTCCCCTCTACAAGGCCATGTATTATCGTTTTGGAGAGGCTTGTAGAAATCATTACATTGCTAGTGGCAGAAATCATTACATTGGTGGTGGCAGAAATCATTACACTGGTAGTGGCAGAAATCATTACACTGGTAGTGGCAGAAATCATTACACTGGTAGTGGCAGAAATCATTACACTGGTAGTGGCAGAAATCATTACACTGGTAGTGGCAGAAATCATTACATTGGTAGTGGCAGAAATCATTACACTGGTAGTGGCAGAAATCATTACATTGGTAGTGGCAGAAATCATTATGTTGGTGGTGGCAGAAATCATTACATTGGTAGTGGCAGAAATCATTACACTGGTAGTGGCAGAAATCATTACATTGGTAGTGGCAGAAATCATTACACTGGTAGTGGCAGAAATCATTACATTGGTGGTGGCAGAAATCATTATGTTGGTGGTGGCAGAAATCATTACATTGGTAGTGGCAGAAATCATTACACTGGTAGTGGCAGAAATCATTACATTGGTAGTGGCAGAAATCATTACACTGGTAGTGGCAGAAATCATTACATTGGTAGTGGCAGAAATCATTACATTGCTAGTGGCAGAAATCATTACATTGGTAGTGGCAGAAATCATTACATTGCTAGTGGCAGAAATCATTACACTGGTGGTGGCAGAAATCATTACATTGGTAGTGGCAGAAATCATTACACTGGTGGTGGCAGAAATCATTACATTGCTAGTGGCAGAAATCATTACACTGGTGGTGGCAGAAATCATTACATTGCTAGTGGCAGAAATCATTACACTGGTGGTGGCAGAAATCATTACACTGGTGGTAGCAGAAATCATTATGTTGGTGGTGGCAGAAATCATTACACTGGTGGTGGCAGAAATCATTATGTTGGTGGTGGCAGAAATCATTATGTTGGTGGTGGCAGAAATCATTACATTGGTGGTGGCAGAAATCATTACACTGGTGGTGGCAGAAATCATTACACTGGTGGTGGCAGAAATCATTATGTTGGTGGTGGCAGAAATCATTACATTGGTGGTGGCAGAAATCATTACACTGGTGGTGGCAGAAATCATTATGTTGGTGGTGGCAGAAATCATTACACTGGTGGTGGCAGAAATCATTACACTGGTGGTGGCAGAAATCATTATGTTGGTGGTGGCAGAAATCATTACACTGGTGGTGGCAGAAATCATTATGTTGGTGGTGGCAGAAATCATTATGTTGGTGGTGGCAGAAATCATTACATTGCTAGTGGCAGAAATCATTACATTGCTAGTGGCAGAAATCATTACACTGCTGGTGGCAGAAATCATTATGTTGGTGGTGGCAGAAATCATTATGTTGGTAGTGGCAGAAATCATTACATTGCTAGTGGCAGAAATCATTATGTTGGTAGTGGCAGAAATCATTACATTGCTAGTGGCAGAAATCATTATGTTGGTAGTGGCAGAAATCATTACATTGCTAGTGGCAGAAATCATTATGTTGGTAGTGGCAGAAATCATTACATTGCTAGTGGCAGAAATCATTACACTGGTGGTGGCAGAAATCATTACACTGGTGGTGGCAGAAATCATTATGTTGGTGGTGGCAGAAATCATTACATTGCTAGTGGCAGAAATCATTACATTGGTGGTGGCAGAAATCATTACATTGGTGGTGGCAGAAATCATTACACTGGTGGTGGCAGAAATCATTATGTTGGTGGTGGCAGAAATCATTACACTGGTGGTGGCAGAAATCATTATGTTGGTGGTGGCAGATATCATTACACTGGTGGTGGCAGAAATCATTACACTGGTGGTGGCAGAAATCATTATGTTGGTGGTGGCAGAAATCATTACACTGGTGGTGGCAGAAATCATTATGTTGGTGGTGGCAGAAATCATTACACTGGTGGTGGCAGAAATCATTATGTTGGTGGTGGCAGAAATCATTACACTGGTGGTGGCAGAAATCATTATGTTGGTGGTGGCAGAAATCATTACACTGGTGGTGGCAGAAATCATTATGTTGGTGGTGGCAGAAATCATTACACTGGTGGTGGCATAAATCATTATGTTGGTGGTGGCAGAAATCATTACACTGGTGGTGGCAGAAATCATTATGTTGGTGGTGGCAGAAATCATTACACTGGTGGTGGCAGAAATCATTACACTGGTGGTGGCAGAAATCATTATGTTGGTGGTGGCAGAAATCATTACATTGGTGGTGGCAGAAATCATTACACTGGTGGTGGCAGAAATCATTATGTTGGTGGTGGCAGAAATCATTACACTGGTGGTGGCAGAAATCATTATGTTGGTGGTGGCAGAAATCATTACACTGGTGTTGGCAGAAATCATTATGTTGGTGGTGGCAGAAATCATTACACTGGTGGTGGCAGAAATCATTACACTGGTGGTGGCAGAAATCATTATGTTGGTGGTGGCAGAAATCATTACATTGGTAGTGGCAGAAATCATTATGTTGGTGGTGGCAGAAATCATTACACTGGTGGTGGCAGAAATCATTATGTTGGTGGTGGCAGAAATCATTACACTGGTGGTGGCAGAAATCATTATGTTGGTGGTGGCAGAAATCATTACATTGGTGGTGGCAGAAATCATTACACTGGTGGTGGCAGAAATCATTATGTTGGTGGTGGCAGAAATCATTACATTGGTAGTGGCAGAAATCATTATGTTGGTGGTGGCAGAAATCATTACACTGGTGGTGGCAGAAATCATTACATTGCTAGTGGCAGAAATCATTATGTTGGTGGTGGCAGAAATCATTACACTGGTGGTGGCAGAAATCATTATGTTGGTGGTGGCAGAAATCATTACATTGCTAGTGGCAGAAATCATTATGTTGGTGGTGGCAGAAATCATTATGTTGGTGGTGGCAGAAATCATTATGTTGGTGGTGGCAGAAATCATTATGTTGGTGGTGGCAGAAATCATTATGTTGGTGGTGGCAGAAACCATTAAACTCTGCTGAAACGTTCTGGTTGTTCACCAACTTTTAGATTTTGGTCGTATTTTACAAGTTGTTTTGTGCACAGAGCATTTTACAGATCTGGCTTATTTGTATGCAGACTGTTGGCTCCTCACTTCTCAGGCACATGCTCTCTGACGTTGAAGGAAGCCACTAATTAGACGCCTTTTACAACCTGCTAGTTAGTGAGGACTGTCGGTATTTTTCCCCACCCTGAACCCACATGATGAGATATAGACTTCTTCGCGTTCACTGGCTGTAAACTCAAGTGGAAAGCTCCGGGTGTTCGTCCACCTCCGGACTTAAGTCTTATTCCAGAACCTGAGTGCTGCATGCAGATCTGTTTCACAGATCTGGTTTATTTTTATGATGCAGACTTGTGGGTCCTTGCCTCTCCGGCAGATGTACTCGACTTTGAAGGATGTCCCCAATTAGTCGACTTCTGTGATAGGCTTGTTGTTGAGGCAGTGATTTTATTCTTATTTTCCCCACAATATGGCCTGGGAGCCCACACGGGGTGTGAGACATAGACTTGAAACCCAAGATCTTTTTCTGGCAGACAAATGGGCACTTAGATCCACAGAAACCCTGGTATGGTATCTTTAAATGCATTCTCGTTTCATTTTATTCTTCTGCTTTCTTTGTCAACAGATGGGAGCATACCATACATTGCTTCTAGAAATGAATCGGCAGTTTACACTCACCAAACAAGAATGGGACAGTGTTGCTATTGACAGAATTGGTAGGTTTTGTAGAGTTTTTAAAAAAATCTTAAAAGTTTCAGAATATTCTGTGCACTCTTTGTTTCTTTTTTTGTTTTGTTTCCTTTTTTTTGGCTTACTGCTTATGCTATAAAGTGTTGCAAAGAGGAGTTAGATATAGTTTTCTGACTTTTACTAGTTCTAAAGCTTGTGGTAATGTCGTGTTTCTCTAGTGCCTCTTTGACTTCCTCCACTCATTTCTTTCTTGGTTGGCCTCTTGACCTGTAGCCTGCTGTTTTCATGTAGTAAGCTCTAACCAATAAATCTTTCTTTGTCAGTGTGTAAAATTTCATACATTTCTTCTTCTTCATCTTCTTTGCAGTCATTGGCTGTAAGCTCCAGCGCAAAGTCCTCTTCGTTTATCCATTTCTGAAGATTGGTCTTACAGAACTTGACAAGTCTGAGTTTTGGGAGTCATGACCACGGCTGCCTCGCCCGCAGAGATTGTCTAGGAGATAACGGGCCGAAACAGTAGTTAAAGGGGGGACCACCTACTGAGGATGGGTAGATTCCTGGTGGGCATGCTCCCGCTTTGGAGTTTTTATGTATTGTTGTGTACACATTCATTTTACAGAACTAAGATCTAGATCCTCGTGAACCACCTTCACATTTCAGAAAGCCCCAAATATTGTAGCTATGCTGTAAGCAGTCACAGCACAGTTTCATTTTACAGATGTGGGATTACATTAAAATAACACTTCAGTCTTACCGTATGTAAGGTTCACATTAAAATGACACTTCAGTCTTACAGATTTGGGAATTACATTAAAATGACACTTTAGTCTTACAGATTTGAGGATTTCATTGAAATGACACTTCAGTCTTACAGATTTGGGAATTACATTAAAATGACACTTCGGTCTTACAGATTTGGGGATTACATTAAAATGACACTTCGGTCTTACAGATTTGGGGATTACATTAAAATGACACTTCAGTCTTACAGATTTGGGGATTGCATTAAAATGACACTTCAGTCTTACAGATTTGAGGATTTCATTAAAATTACACTTCAGTCTTACAGATTTGAGGATTTCATTAAAATTACACTTCAGTCTTACAGATTTGGGGATTACATTAAAATGACACTTTGGTCTTACAGATGTGAGATAACATTAAAGCAACACTTGAATCTTTCAGAAACGGCCTGTGATCCAGCCCAGCATGCCGACCTGATGGCAATCATTATGCAAGAAGGGGTGGCCCATATTTGCCTGGTAACCCCCAGCATGACCCTAGTCAGGGCCAAGATCGAGACCAACATACCTCGCAAGCGCAAGGGCATGTGCGATCAGCACACCAAGGTTTGTGGGTCGTGTTTTCCTGATTGCGATTATGTTAATGGTATTTTCTTCTTCTGCGATCGACGTCAACCTGCTAAACCATCTGTCTTTCCAATGTGGGTTCTGAAGCCTCATTGGGGGTGGGGGAGATAGACCCACTGTTATTTATTAATATCCTACCCCAGATGACGTCACAGGACAGTCCCAACATTTTAGAGGGTGGTACGACTGGGTTTCCCGGCTTTCTGATGCTTTTAACGACCTCAAAACATCTAGATCTGGCCCTAACCCAACTCACTTATTTCCCTTGAGAGAGTGCAGCCTAGGTCTCGCTAGGTCTATTCATGTGCCAACGATAGCCACACGGAATGTCTTTCATGCCCTTGAAAAAATAAAGTAAAAAAAGGCACACACACAATACAGTCTCAGCAAAACCAATAGCATGCATACATATTAGGTGCATAAGGCAGTCATCAGAATTGCCAAATTAGTCAGACACTGAAAATGCGGTCATTATCGATTGAAGTAAGCAGTTTCAACAGATTAGCAATTGCACATGAATTAATTCCTTATAAGGGATTCTGTCTGATTCTTTAAGTTCATACGACACACCTTGACACTGCAGCTTACAGACTGATGTGTCGTGACACAGTAGCTTACACACAAATGTGTCGTGACACAATAGCTTACACACAGATGTGTTGTTACACACTAGCTTACACACAGATGTGTCGTGACACAGTAGCTTACACACAGATGTGTCGTGACACAGCAGCTTACACACAGATGTGTCTGACACAGTAGCTTACACACAGATGTGTCGTGACACAGCAGCTTACACACAGATGTGTCTGACACAGTAGCTTACACACAGATGTGTCATGACACTGCAGCTTACAGACAGATGTGTCGTGACACAGTAACTTAAACACAAATGTGTCGTGACACAGTAGCTTACACACAGATGTGTTGTTACACACTAGCTTACACACAGATGTGTCGTGACACAGTAGCTTACACACAGATGTGTCGTGACACAGTAGCTTACAAACAGATGTGTCATGACACAGTAGCTTACACACAGATGTGTTGTGACACAGTAGCTTACACACAGATGTGTTGTGACACATTAGCTTACACACATATGTGTCATGACACAGCAGCTTACAAACAGATGTGTCGTGACACATTAGCTTACACACATATGTGTCATGACACAGCAGCTTACAAACAGATGTGCCGTGACACAGCAGCTTACACACAGATGTGTCATGACACAGTAGCTTACACACAGATGTGTCGTGACACAGTAGCTTACAAACAGATGTGTCGTGACACAGCAGCTTACACACAGATGTGCCGTGACACAGCAGCTTACACACAGATGTGTCATGACGCAGTAGCTTACACACAGATGTGTCGTGACACAGTAACTTACACACAGATGTGTTGTGACACAGTAGCTTACACACAGATGTGTCATGACACTGCAGCTTACAGACAGATGTGTCGTGACACAGTAACTTACACACAAATGTGTCGTGACACAGTAGCTTACACACAGATGTGTTGTTACACACTAGCTTACACACAGATGTGTCGTGACACAGTAGCTTACACACAGATGTGTTGTGACACAGTAGCTTACAAACAGATGTGTCATGACACAGTAGCTTACACACAGATGTGTTGTGACACAGTAGCTTACACACAGATGTGTTGTGACACATTAGCTTACACACATATGTGTCATGACACAGCAGCTTACAAACAGATGTGTCGTGACACATTAGCTTACACACATATGTGTCATGACACAGCAGCTTACAAACAGATGTGCCGTGACACAGCAGCTTACACACAGATGTGTCATGACACAGTAGCTTACACACAGATGTGTCGTGACACAGTAGCTTACACACAGATGTGTCGTGACACAGCAGCTTACACACAGATGTGCCGTGACACAGCAGCTTACACACATATGTGTCATGACACAGTAGCTTACACACAGATGTGTCGTGACACAGTAGCTTACACACAGATGTGTCATGACACAGTAGCTTACACACAGATGTGTCGTGACACAGTAGCTTACACACAGATGTGTCGTGACACAGTAGCTTACACACAGATGTGTCGTGACACAGTAGCTTACACACAGATGTGTCATGACACAGTAGCTTACACACAGATGTGTCGTGACACAGTAGCTTACACACAGATGTGTCGTGACACAGTTTCGAATGCACTTTTCAAACTCATGGCACCCTAACACCATTACCTGCGTCAGGACTAGATTACTGCCTTTTGACTGTGTTTGTATTTTTGTAACGCTAATATCTTCTGTGTTTGTTTTACTGAATCCCTAGGGTTTGCACAGATTTTATGATCAGATCATCCAAGCATTTCAGCGTCATTGTAATTTTGACAGTAAGTTTTCATACGTGGGACAGTATTCTGGTTATTGATAGTAAGTTTGTAAATGTATGCAGAAGGGTCACTTGGTTTATTTGTCCTTTTTTCTACAAAAAAACCTGGATGTGAACTTCAGCAGAAAGTCCTGATTGAATATCCTTCTTGTCTTTCCTCTGATATTTAGACTATGTCTACCAGTCCCGTGCAAATAAAAGGATAAAATTTATATATCTTTCTTTTATTGCATTAAAAAACTGCAGATAACTGCCTTTGTTACCACTTTTGGCAGGGGGGTCTTTGAGCGTGAATATTTACGGACGCATGGCTAGTGCTGTCGCCTCGACTGTGCAGGTGAGGATTTTATTTTGCCCCTGACAGAAAAAATCCCCCAGTCTTACTGAGGATTCAAACTCTGTCTCCCACTTGAGAGCCAGGCATCCCGACCGTTCAGCCAGCCGCTCCTCTTTTATTGCATAAATGGTCTTGGGGGAGTAATGTTTTATTTAATTTTGAGCAGTAAAGGTAAAAGAGCTTTTCCCACAAATTGAAGCTTATTGTGTTTATGATACTACTAGCCCAGTGTTTCACTAGACAGATCAGCATTCACTTTTTTGTCTTGAGATCAGTATCCACCCCACTACTGTCCATGTGACAGTAGCATCTTGTGAAACAGTGAAGACCCATTTCTATATCCAGACTCTTATTGGTTCATTGGCCTGTACTTCTAGTGAATCAAGGGGTGAGGAAAAGTTGCTGCCGTTTTAAAGGACAGACATCGAGAAAACCTGAGAACAGTATAAATGAATGTCGTTGCACTGAAACCCACAGGGTCATAGAAATAAAAGCAGACCTAAAGGTGCATGGCTGGATTAAAAATAAAAAAAAAACAGAAAAAAGATGGAAAGGATGGTGGGTGAGCTGTATGCAATAACAAAGGTTGGGATGACTTGGCCTGAGTTGGTTGAGGGCCTATGCTCTGTGTGTGTGTGTGTGTGAGAGGGAGGGGGGATAAGAGACAGAAGAGTCCTTGATTATTATTTAACAAACAAACAAACACATACACAATGGGGTCACCAGGTCAAGCTATTTTCCTCGTGCTCTAAAGGTCATAGGGTTGTTTCACATTTGCGTCGTTTGGTTCATGAGTGCAGTTTTACGCAGACTCTGAGGATCATCACTGGAGCTACAGTGTTTATGCTTTGTGCACACGCTCGGCAGATATCTAGCCTTTCTGTGGAGAGAGACCAAGCTATATCAGATAAAATCCGTGCAGGGAAGTCCAGCCTTTCTACTGTAACTGTAACTAATCTTACCCCGGAAAAAAAATCAGTACCACAATGGAGATTCACACCAGCGACTGGGAGGGAAACAAGCAGGCCACACACACGGAGACTTCTACTCAGTATGGAGGATAGGCAGTTTTTTTTAGTAGTGTCAAATGTTTTGCTTTTTTTAACAATAGGTGGCCGTTGCATTTTCCTCCATATATAGACTGAAAGATTCATTGCCCAGCTACTGAGGATGTGCACTGCATGTTATACTATCAGAATTCACATACGTGTGTCAGAATTGGTTGGATGGTGAAATCTCTGTAAAAGTACAACTCTATTACTTCTGCCCACTTAACTATCCTTCGCTCCCAGGTTAACCCAGCCTTGAGTGGGTACCAGATGCAGTCCTGGGAAGTAAAGGCCGCTGGCGGGATGCTGACCACATCACTCATCTAGTCCCGTTTGGTCTATAAAATATAGGTCTAACCCTATCTGCCCAATACGCCTGAAAGACATGGAGAAGGTTCCTTTTCTTTACTCAACTATCCAAGATTCTCAGTCATATGTTTGAGACTCATAATTCTTAACCTTACGATGAATATGGAAGATAGACAGGTTAACTGTTTTTATTCTTGGCAAGTTTTTGCTTTTAACAATAATTGGCTATTGCATTTTCCTCCTTATATAGACTAGAAGGAAATAGTTTTATCACCCAGCTAATGAGTTAAAGGAATGGCTTGACACTGTGAGCTGCGGATTTCAATTTGTAATGCTTTTCAGCTGTACCCAACATAGTTTGTGTTGTGAACTTCACAAAATGGCAAATGGCCTGTTGCTACAGAACTGGTGGCACCTTAGGTGATTAATTGCATGTGCAACTTCTAATCTGTTGTAACTGCTGCTGCCATCAATGATGAACTGTATTTCAAGTGTCGGTCTGTTTTTGTTGGCACTTGTGACACTGCATTATGCATTTAATGCGTCTGTGTGATATTGTCCGAGTGGATCAGTCACAGTTACGATGGTTTGGACATGTATACAGAATGGGAGAAAATAGGCCACCATGGCAAGCACGGGAGGCAAAGAACCAGGGAACCAGACCTTCAAGGTGACCCAGGGTCCCCTGGGAAGACAACATCCGACAGTCCCTAACTGACAGAGGTCTGGAATGGAACAAAGCCAGAAAGAAAACTGCAACAGATAGAGACGTCTGGCGATCTCTCTGGCAAACCTGTATACCCCAAGGTAGAAGAGGAGCGACTAAGTAAAGTAAAGTAAAAGTATGCAATTGAATTTGCTGAGACTGCAGTCTTTGTTAACATTTCCACAAGGAGCAGTGAAGGACATTCTGTGTGGTTTTCATTGACGCAGGAACGGAACAACTGTGGGGTGACCCATTTGGCAAAAAAACTGATTACCTGATTACCAGACACTGATAATTATATGGATAACAATTTCCCGACACATGTTATTTTTTTTCTTCCACCAGTTGTGAAATGTGTTCTTATCGCAAGTCCTGGTTTTGTGAAGGTATGAAGTCATTTACGGTTAATGGAGCAAGAATGTTTTACTTATTTAAAAGAGAAACTCCTGGCGTTGTCGATCATCCTTACCTGCAAGGGACTGCATGTGACGCCTTGCTGCTGTTACCATTACGGATGTCATTGTCCTTGTTGGTCTCGTTCAGAAAGTTTTGGCAAACTACTGAATGTAAAATGTGCCTAGAAAAACCACAGCAGGCAGAAAATGCTGGGGTTGGCTCTGCAACATCCTGTAAAGGATACACAACTAACTAACTTGTTGGTCTGTCATCCAGATTGAGATTACTAAATCGCAGAATGGTATGGTAAACCTTTAGGTCGCAGGCTGCAGGGGACACATGAATGGATCGATTTATTGTCATTCTCAGTATATTACTGAATTAGATCATTGCTGACTGGATGAGATGTAGAGGCACTGAACTACATGCAGTGTTGCACAAGAATAAGGGCTCATGCTGATGCTGTCTTTTTTTTACCTCTCCTGCGGGCATCCGAGAAACAGGTTCCCAGTCAGGAACTTGGTCAATGTAAATAGGATCGATGTTGGAGTGTGTCTGCCTGAGAGGCAAGGAACAAGGAACCAGCAGACAGCACACAAATACGCCAGATCTGTAAAACAGATGTATACACAACACTCAAATCATGGCATATGGCCAGAGTCCAGAAGTCAGTGAAGAACCAGAGCTTTCTGCCAGTTTACCACTGGTGGATGTGAAGAAGAAGTTAACTAAATCTGTAAATATTCCCCAAGTTACAGATCATTTTTCATTTCTGTGCTTTTAAAATTACTGCCCTTTGTCTATATAGAGCAAGGATCTCTGTTATTGAAAATCCTGTAGAGGGTGGAAGGGAGTGGAGGAAATGAACTGGGTCCTTCTTTTTCACCCTTTTATCCGCCCAGTAGGCATAGTAAAGTAAAATTAAAGACCCTTTTCCATGTCTTTAGATCTATTGGGCATATAAGGCTAGACCTATATTTTATAGACCATTCAGCGCTGGGTGGGTGATGTGGTCAGCATCACATCGGCCACCTTTACATCCCAGGACTACCTCGTTGCCACTCGAGGCTGGGTCGACCTGAGAGCCAAGGTCATTTTTTGGAAAAAAGTCTGGCTCCATCAGGACCTGAATCTATGACCTTCCGATCTGCAGGCAAGCATCTAGCTCTTACCCATGCTCAGTAGAGCATAATCCTTCAGCTAATTGATACTGGTTCCAAGTATCTTTTGTGGTCACATGCGGCGCACCCCATGCCCTATCAGTTTAAAAAAAATCTTATTACTTAGAGGTTTTCATAGCTGGTTAGTTTTTATGGCTGTAGTGTTTTATGCGATGAGGTAGCTGAATCCAAACCCAGCATACCCTTAGTCGCCTTTTTTGACGTGCATGATAGGGCAGGATTAACATTACTATTCTTTCCTTCCCGTGAAACCCGGAAACACAAAACTGCTGCAAGTTCTTTGTGATATATAATTGCACAAAAGGATGAAGATAATAGTTGATTACATTGTTGTTGTCGTTTGCCTCTCTTAAGGGCCTCAGTAACACACACTGTATTGGTCCTACAGCTCATGCATGTCAAACTGATTGTCCCTCAAAGACCATACAGGTCAGTCTTATGTTGCAGATTTATATTGTCATAAGGGGTGCACACGATGGCTATCTGAAGTCACTCAATGATTGCAGAGTATTTTCAGTTGCGGGACACAGTTGTGCTTGCAAAGGGTTGCATGTTTGACATGCCTACTATACCTTTTTTATATATAATAAACAAGCAGACAGTGTATTGATTGGCACTGATAAAAAGAAGTAGAAAGATCAAAGGACACACTAGACAACATAGCAAGTTGGTTGTCTGTTGTGCCCTTCTATCTTTCTACTTCTTTCTCTGAGTGCCGATTGGTACACTGTCTGTTTGTTATTATATATATAATTTTTTATGGTCCTCAAGGGTTCCCCCCCTTTCTTTTTTAAAATGTGAACTACTATACCTTTGTATTTTCTTGTCTGCAGGCATTTAGCCTCCTTTAGAGAATTTCCCCAGGCTTGCTGCTATGTATTGGGAAATAAACAAGCAGATAGATTAGCTGGTCGGCACCACTTGGTGGTTAATTGATTCCTGGCAAACTAGATGTTGCAAGAGCCTTTGGGAACAAATAAACAATTGGGAGGCTCACATAGGGCATCATTCTCTGAAGAGAATGGTGCACCCAAAAATGAACAAGGGATCATTCTGATGCTCAATTCTCAGAGAAGGGGAGGTTCAAGACGGTCATGCAATCTCAGACTGTTGCTGGTATCATCGGAATGGGAACTCCTCACTTGCTGCTAAAAATGGGGACAGAGAGGTTGTGAGAATGTCCTGAGTGATATTATGTTAGTTCATAACTCATGATTCGTAACTCTTTGCCTGCAGGATCATTTTGCCGACTACCTCTTCTCTCAAGCTCAGAAGATGGATGACAAAACCATTATTGACAACAAGTCCAAGTTTGTGTTGGTGCATTCTTCATCTGGTTTCAAGCATTCACTCAAAGGTACTGAGAATTCATTGATCATTGTCAGCTTATAGTCCATGGTATATCTTTCCCGTGTGGGTTCCTGGGCCCTATTATAGGGAGAAAAACAAGAATAGATCCAGTGCCTACCCAAAAGCATGTCGTAAGAGTCGACTAATTGGGAGCTTCTTTTGAAGTCGGAGTGCATCTGCCTGAGAGGCAAGGAACCAGCAGTCTGCATAGAAATGAGTAAGATCTGTAAAATGGATGCACATGTAACACTCCAGGTTCTGGAACAGGACTGCAGTCCAAAAGTGGATGAACAACCAGAACTCTCTGCCAGAGTTTACAGCTGGTGAACACAAAGAAGATGAAGAAGAAGGTAGTCATATCCGTCCACTACCTTTTGTCTCATGTACTTTCAGTCACTTTTGACACAGGTGATCTCTCATGCCGTGATGCTAAACTGCAAAACATCTGCTGTTCTCTGTCAATCTCCTTCTGCCTCTTATCCCCTCCAACTTTCCTACCATCACAGTGTACACTTTTATCCTTCTTGTGACCAAAGACTCATCTGTATCATCATCATTATCATTATTATTTTCATCATCAACATCAGATGCCTTACTGACTAGTGTTGATCTTACTTCTTCACATCTTTCTGACTTAAATGGTTTGTAGTATCATTTATATGTTTAACACCATTTTACACAATGACAGAACTTTAATTGACCACAAATCATGTTTCTGCTGGTGCATCCTCATCTGGCTTCATCACTGAAGGGTACTGATCAGTCATTCGCTCACTGTCATGTTCATCATCATCATCATCTCCATCATCGCTAGATACTTTGCTGATTCGTGTTGTCAGTCCATGCGTCTCCACATCTGGTTGTCTCTATTAGCTTGTATCATTCAAATGCTTAACACCATTCAGCATCACAATAGAACTATCTGACTACAAATCATGTTTGTGCTGGCGCATTCTTCATCTCTCTTCAGGTGCTTAATGGGGCAGGGAGCAGTCATTAATCATCATGTTTGTGCTGGCGCATTCTTCATCTCTCTTCAGGCACTAACTGGGGCAGGGAGCAGTCATTAATCATCATGTTTGTGCTGGCGCATTCTTCATCTCTCTTCAGGCACTAACTGGGGCAGGGAGCAGTCATTAATCATCATGTTTGTGCTGGCGCATTCTTCATCTCTCTTCAGGCGCTAACTGGGGCAGGGAGCAGTCATTAATCATCATGTTTGTGCTGGCGCATTCTTCATCTCTCTTCAGGTGCTTAATGGGGCAGGGAGCAGTCATTAATCATCATGTTTGTGCTGGCGCATTCTTCATCTCTCTTCAGGCACTAACTGGGGCAGGGAGCAGTCATTAATGATCATGTTTGTGCTGGCGCATTCTTCATCTCTCTTCAGGCACTAACTGGGGCAGGGAGCAGTCATTAATCATCATGTTTGTGCTGGCGCATTCTTCATCTCTCTTCAGGCGCTAACTGGGGCAGGGAGCAGTCATTAATCATCATGTTTGTGCTGGCGCATTCTTCACCTCTCTTCAGGCACTAACTGGGGCAGGGAGCAGTCATTAATCATCATGTTTGTGCTGGCGCATTCTTCATCTCTCTTCAGGCACTAACTGGGGCAGGGAGCAGTCATTAATCATCATGTTTGTGCTGGCGCATTCTTCATCTCTCTTAAGGCGCTAACTGGGGCAGGGAGCAGTCATTAATCATCATCATTTTGCCTTTTGGTCGAAAACACGTTCGATTTCAGCAGGTCCTTAATTAGTTGTCCTGTAAGATATCCATAATAAAGGATACTGGGTCTGTTCTTTATTTCCTTCAAAACCTACTGGTTCACTCCTGTAGAACTGGGAAGGCTAACCCGGTCAACAAATGCCCGCAGAAGTTGGATGTGTTGGCCGAAAGGTGCAAATATCGCAGCCATGCTGCAAACGGACACAGCCCAATTACATCTTCGGATGAACGAAGAAGAAGAAGACTCCGTAGAATGCTGACTGGTATTGGCCAAAATGACTGTCTTATCTTGCCCTTAAACTTTGAGTTTGAACTTATCCATGTTGGCAGTAAGTGTTCACCACATCTGTCGATCTCCAACAGTATCATTTTGTGTGCTGACACCCCTCATGTCATGACAAAAACCTATCAAGAAATGTATCTTGTTGTCTTTCTCTGTCTCTCTTTCCATTAGGCTTTCCAGTTGAACATGTTCCATTTATTTCTCTTTTTGTTATATGGCACACAAAAGGGCTGTCTCTTTCTAATCTTCAATGCCAGTATGTTTGGAAATGAACAGGCAGGTAGCTTGGCTGGTTCCCTTTCACTTCATCATAAACGGATGCATGACAAGCTAGATGCTTTAAGGGCATTTTGGCAGTGAGTAAACAGTGCCGAGGCACAAATAGATCATCATAGTCTGATCAGACTGATGCAGTGAGGAGTGACAAGGGGATCTGGCGGACGCTCAACACTCAGGTGAGGGGCTGGCCGGACATACTGCCAGACTGTTACTGGTACCATCGTAATTGGAACTCTGGACTTGCTGCTAAAGATGGGGACAAAGTGCTTATGGGAATGTTCCGCGTGCTATGATTTAAGTTCTCAACTCATAACTGAATATCCTGCAATGTTGCCTTTGTCTAAGAAAGCTAAATGTCTCCTAGTCTTGTTTCTATATGACCCCAAGGACTTTCCCAGTGTCTGCTACTTCTCTGTCATCATCATGTGCCTTGCCAATAAGTATAGTTGATAATGTCACACGGTCACTAGAATCAAGGATCAGTTCACTGTTCCACCCAAGCCCTCCATGTAAAGTTAAACCTTGTAAATACTAATTTTAACTGACCAAAAATCATTGTTTGTGTCTAAAAAATGCAATGAAATAATATAGAATCCTTTTTTCTTTGATCACCCTAAGAACTGTTGCAGTTTATGACAGTTTGTAAGAATGTTACAGTGTAATAATACAAAGTCTTGTCTCTTTAATGATCCTAAGGATGATTTTCTGACACTACTCATGTCATATAATTAATAAATACAGAATCTTGTGTTTTATTGTAGCATTTAGACCCTTTTTAAATGCCTCACACTTGTTTTTTTATTCTTCTCCTACTCTTCTGTTTACTCTTAACCCCCCCCCCCCCCCCCCCCCTTTCCCCTCAAAAAAAAACCCAGCGCATTATGGTGGGGTTTTCAGCTGGACTACAGCATTTCTGTCTTTTGGCCCATTATCATCATTATCAGGTGCTTTGCTGACTGGCGTAGGCGTTCATGCCTCTCCCCAATCTGCGATCTCCTGCAATATGTATGCGTTCGTGTTCTGACACACCTTCATGCCATGCAATAAGACTGTCAAGAATCTTCTCTCGTTGTCTTTCTCTATCCCTCCTTCCACAGATCTTTCCAGTGGTCACAACATGTTTCATTTTCCCTCTTCTAATAACATGGCAGAAAAATGATGACTGGCTCCTTCTGATGTCTGTGTTAAGTTGTCTTCGGGCTCCCACCTCTTTCAAAACCTCTTGGTTGCTCTTTTTTGGCCCAACACATTCTATTTAAGCAAGTCCTTAATTAGTTGCCTTTTATGACATGTTTGTAAAGGACAACGGGTCTATTTTTTTGTTTCCCTCAGAACCCACTGGTTCACTCCTGTAGAATGAAGTAACGCAGAATTGTGATTCTTGAATCATTCCAGAAGTTCTTGCAGATCCATCCATAGCAGGAAAACTTGCAGACACAAAAGCTGCAGGAGAGGTGAAAGCATTGGAGGATTTCTACACAATGCTGCAGACAGACCCTGACAGAGCTTACTATGGGTAGGTCCATGTGACAGTAACATCTTGTGACATATTATAAAGAACCCATTTCTTCTTCTTCGCGTTCACAGGCTGTAAACTGCAAAGGAAAGTTCTGGTTGTTCATCCACGTCTGGACTTTAGTCTTGTTCCAAACCCTGAGTGTTGTGTTCACATTCATTTTACAAATCTGACTTATGTATATGCAGATTGTTAGTTCCTTGCCTCTCAGGCCGATGCACTCCTACTTCAGAGAAAGCCTCCAGTTGGTCGACTCTTAAGATATTCTTGTTGGTGAGCCAGTGGATCTATTCTTGTTTTCCCCACAATGGGGCCCTGGAACCCACAGAGGAAGACCCATTTCTGTACCCAGACTCTTACATGACATTTGATGCCAGCCCTTTCTACTTTATAGACCTTGCCTAAGGTATAATTTACCAACAGTCAGAACCACTAACAGCGATCTCCTTCAAATCAGCTATGAGCAGCACTGCAATGAAGTCCATTACAGAAAGAGAGATCAACAGTCTTTATCATCACTAGTTTGATTAAAGTTTATGCAGAGGAATCAGTGAAGAGAGCAGTCAGAGATGGACAAAGAGAAAGAACATACATAGAATGATCTGAACTGACAGGTTTATGTCCAACTACAGACCAGAGGAAGTTGCATTTCTGATGGTATATTCTTTCCTGGATATACAGCAGCTCAACAAGTGTGTCTGATTGATGCCATGGTGATTCTATAAGCAGTTATTAATCCCAAAGACACCCACTTAATCAACAGATTGTGTGTTAATTTACTCTGTTTTCTTCTTCTGCTCTTACCCTTAAAAGAGCAATTGGCAGGTTGTGCTCGTTTTACAGCCAGCCTTGATATCTGCACCCATTGGCCCAACAGAGGTTTCCAGCAAACGTCTCTTTAGTCAGCAGCTGTAGCTTGGGGGTTGCAGACGCCATTGTTCAGCTCATGGATCCTGTTTCAGTTCTATGTGTATGTAGCTAGCTTATCGTGGCCAACTACTTCTATCAGTGACAAACTGCATTTCTGGTGGTGACTGTTGGCTTTGGCATCTCTAGCAACTGCTGTATGCATTTACTATCTGCGCATATTTCTGGATTTCTCTGGGACTGATTGTTAACCAGTTTGTCAAATGGGAGAGTGAGGGACATTTCATGTGATTTTCATTGGCACAGGAACACAGCAAGTATTGGGGGGACCCAATTACAGTAAAGATGAAACCTTGACTCAGACTAAGTCAGTTATTTTGTGGGCAGTTTTGCAGCAGACCACCTTGCACTGATTTTGACAGTTTTGTCAAGAACCGACCATTGAGGGTGTAGTGACAAACTACTGAACTGAATGTAAAAACAGCCTGTGAAAGCAGAGATTGCCAGGAAATGCTGGGGTTAGTTTTGTAATGTCCTCTAAAGGATACACAGCTAATAAACTGATCAGTGGTCTTTTATGACATGCTTGTGAGTGGGAGGTCTATCTCCCCCACTCTTTCTCTCTCTCTCTCTCCCACGCCCAAAGTTGGGTCTGGAACCCAACAAAGGGGATTCACTCAAAAATTTTACTGTCTAGTTTCTGATAGATCTGATTGGTCTCTCTCTCCAGCATACGTCATTGTGAAAGAGCTGCAGAACAGCAAGCCATTGAAGTCCTTCTCATCTCAGATGAGCTGTTCAGGTGAGATTTCTCATGTGTTATCCCACTTCACTATACCTACACCCACCAGTTTTATACTGCAGATTACTACCTAATCGTGATGCCCCTGCTTTACGCTTGAACAGGGTGTCCAGAATTTGTACTTCTTTGATTCTTGAGCAGGTCATAAGGGGCAGCTAAGAGGGATTGGCAAGATACCAGCTTAAAACAACCATTTTACACAGTTCAAAAATAAATTCCCAAAAATTCTTCTTCTTTTTCTTTCTTCTTCTTCTTCTTCTTCTTCTTCTTCTTCTTCTTCTTCTTCTTCTTCTTCTTCTTCTTCTTCTTCTTCTTCTTCTTCTTCTTCTTCTTCTTCTTCTTCTTCTTCTTCTTTTTCTTCTTTAGGGTTATCAGTAAAAATAAATGCAGCAGGGAATCAGCTGGGGTACATCTTTTTGTGGTTAAAAAAATGTAATCCGATGACTCATTTTTGATACTTTGACCTGGCTGCAGGAAACACTGATTAATAGTAAATTATGATGTCTGAATTTGCATAAATAAATCAGTTTATCTCAAGAGAACACCCACAAATGCTATTGTTTGTGACTATCACCATTGGCTGACCTTTTAAAACATTTGCGCATGTGCAAACGGAATCAGTGCTCTTAGCAAGGATTCTCATAAACAGTCCCCATAGCTGTTCTTCATTTATTAGCCATTTAAGGCAATCATTGTTAGTTATTCTGGCAGTTCAAGGTGTTCGCAAAATTCTTCTCAAGAACCACGTCTCGGTTGTGGATAGGCACACAGATTTCAGCCTATAGCTGTAAACCACAGCATGTTGTGGCAGCTGCTCTTTAATAGAAAACACAGAATAAGAAGAATGTCTGGCGATAACTTTAATGTTTTACTGGTTTTATTTTTTAAAGGATAACTAAGATAATGTGGACAGTCATGGTCAGCTTTGTGAGAACATCTAAAATAATGTGGACAGTAATGGTCAGCTTTGTGAGAACATCTGAAATAATGTGGACAGTAATGGTCAGCTTTGTGAGAACATCTAAAATAATGTGGACAGTCATGGTCAGGTTGTGAGAACATCTAAAATAATGTGGACAATTACGGTCAGCTTTGTGAGAACATCTGAAATAATGTGGACAGTAATGGTCAGCTTTGTGAGAACATCGAAATAATGTGGACAGTAATGGTCAGCTTTGTGAGAACATCTAAAATAATGTGGACAGTCATGGTCAGGTTGTGAGAACATCTAAAATAATGTGGACAGTCATGGTCAGGTTGTGAGAACATCTAAAATAATGTGGGCAGTAATGGTCAGGTTGTGAGAACATCTAAAATAATGTGGACAGTAATGGTCAGGTTGTGAGAACATCTAAAATAATGTGGACAGTCATGGTCAGGTTGTGAGAACATCTAAAATAATGTGGACAGTAATGGTCAGGTTGTGAGAACATCTAAAATAATGTGGACAGTAATGGTCAGGTTGTGAGAACATCTAAAATAATGTGGACAGTAATGGTCAGGTTGTGAGAACATCTAAAATAATGTGGACAGTAATTGTCAGCTTTGTGAGAACATCTAAAATAATGTGGACAATAATGGTCAGCTTTGTGAGAACATCTAAAATAATGTGGACAGTCATGGTCAGGTTGTGAGAACATCTAAAATAATGTGGACAATAATGGTCAGCTTTGTGAGAACATCTAAAATAATGTGGACAGTCATGGTCAGGTTGTGAGAACATCTAAAATAATGTGGGCAGTAATGGTCAGGTTGTGAGAACATCTAAAATAATGTGGACAGTAATGGTCAGGTTGTGAGAACATCTAAAATAATGTGGACAGTCATGGTCAGGTTGTGAGAACATCTAAAATAATGTGGACAGTAATTGTCAGCTTTGTGAGAACATCTAAAATAATGTGGACAATTATGGTCAGCTTTGTGAGAACATCTAAAATAATGTGGACGATAATGGTCAGCTTTGTGAGAACATCTGAAATAATGTGGACAATTATGGTCAGCTTTGTGAGAACATCTAAAATAATGTGGACAATAATGGTCAGCTTTGTGAGAACATCTAAAATAATGTGGACAATTATGGTCAGCTTTGTGAGGACATATAAAATAATGTGGACAATAATGGTCAGCTTTGTGAGAACATCTGAAATAATGTGGACAAGGTCAGCTTTGTGACGACATCTAAAATAATGTGGACAATAATGGTCACCTTTATGGGAACATTTAAGATAATGCATACAGTAATTGTTAGCTATGTAAGGACATCTAAGATAATGCAGACAGTAATGGTCAGCTTTGTGGGAACATTTAAGATAATGCATACAGTAATTGTTAGCTATGTAAGGACATCTAAGATAATGCAGACAGTAATGGTCAGCTTTGTGGGAACATTTAAGATAATGCATACAGTAATTGTTAGCTATGTAAGGACACCTAAGATAATGCAGACAGTAATGGTCAGCTTTGTGGGAACATTTAAGATAATGCAGACAGTAATGGTTAGCTATGTAAGGACATCTAAGATAATGCGTACAGTAATGGTTAGTTATGTAAGGACATCTAAGATAATGCGTACAGTAATGGTCAGCTTTGTGAGAACATCTAAGATAATGCATACAGTAATTGTTAGATATGTAAGGACATCTAAGATAATGCGTACAGTAATGGTCAGCTTTGTGAGAACATCTAAAATAATGCAGACAGTAATGATCATGTTTGTGAATACATCTAAAATAATGCAGACAGTAATGGTCAGCTTTGTGAGAACATCTAAGATAATGCGTACAGTAATGGTTAGTTATGTAAGCACATCTAAGATAATGCGTACAGTAATGGTCAGCTTTATGAGAACATCTAAAATAATGTGAACAATAATGGTCAGCTTTGTGATTTCCTTACAGGGCTCAAGATGTTGCCCAGCGGAAGCGTTATGTCAGTCTGGTAGACTCAGTGAAAGAAAATGGCGGCGAGGTGAAGATTTTCTCCAGCCTTCATGTTTCAGGGGAACGTAAGTCATTTTTATGGTTTTGCATTTTTCCAACTTTTTATTTAAAAGTGTTAATAAACAGCGGTTTTTGTTGGTCTTTTTGTTTTTCAAGAAGAATTTGTTTAGCTGGTTTATTTCACAGATGGTGTTCTCTCGGTGCTTACTGTGTAGTGAGTCTCATTTCTATTTATAATTTTTTCAAACCAGCTGCTACTTGCAGTGACTTAGTGTATTTACCTGAAACTGTTTTTACCATTAAAAGTGGAATGGTTACATGCAATGCTAGGTGTAACGAGGAAAGATCGACTTAGGAACGATGATATCAGGAGGAGGATGGGCACAGAACCAGTACTGAACTTTATAGGTAGACAACAAATCAAATAATTTGGTCATGTAACAAGATTGGCAGCAGACAGGACACCACAGAGAGCAGTGTTTTACACATACAGTGGTAACAGAGCCAGAGGTCGACCACGCAGAATATGGACCGTACAAATATCAGAGACACTGAAAAGTACTTTATACAAAGCGAACAGAAAGGCCTATTCTAGAGATCTCTTTCTCCCCTGACGCTGCGAGGCATTCCAGGAGTAGAGAAAAGAAGAAGAAAAAGTTTAATAATTTTTTTACTTTTAAAAAGTGTGGAATGAATTTATAAGGATTTATATTATTTTCCCTTTATTGATTATAATGGTATACATTTCATGCTTCTTCTTTTATATATAATATATATACACACATACACACGCACGTACGCACGCACACACAATTCAGGAAAAATACAATGTGTCACTATTAGAGCTGGTTTGAAAACTGTATAAATGGAAATTATATATAATATATGTTCATGTATAATTTTTTTTAAATTACTGATAAGACCATTTATCTTTATAACCTGTGGAAAAATCTCAATTTTGGAAATTTTTGCAACCAGATAGCTCCAAAATGTTAAATCAGACATGTAGATTACATACTCTGCACCTAGAGTGTCTATTCATGTGTAAAATAATTGTCTGGGACTCAATGTTTGTTGGTAGGACTACAAAAAGGTGGAAACATTTCTTTGTAAAAATTGGTTTTTTTTTTCTCTTATCTTACCTATTTTTCTGCCAAAGTGTCCAATTTCTCATCTAGATTATCTCTTCAAGTGGGAAGTGATAGACTGAGACTAAAATTGTCAACTTTTGGAACCTGGAGCACAGCTAAAACAAGCCAACATCTTGTTACAGATGTTTGAAAACCGAGTCTTATGTCCTGAGTTTTGCCTGCTTATCCGTTATACAGATCTAGCCGATGCAGACTATGGTCCTGTGATCCTCCGTGCCATGATGTCAGATTATCCAGGATCTGTTCTCTCTGCCTCTCCTCCAACTTTTCGACTGTCCTGAAGTACTCCAGTTTTCTGTAGTTTAGACGTTGCGAGCACGCTTCGTAATGCTGGGGTACCTGATTCGATCCCAGCTGTGGACGATTTGTCTTGCGCTTCTTTCGACAGTGCTACCTAGAGCTGGCCGTTGAGGAAGCAATCGCAAACTACTGAATGTAAAATTTTCCTACAATAACCACAACAGCTAAAAAAATGCTGGGTTTGGTTCTGCAAGATCCTGTAAAGAATACACAACTAACTTTTTAACATCACTTGACTAAAGAATGTAGATTGTCTCTTTCTGATGTGGGCAATCAGTTCTCTTTGTGAGTCAAGTTTGTTTTCAAGGCATCTTCATTTCTCTTTTTATCTGTTTAGGGTATTCTCATCATTCGTCTATAAAACCACATCTGTGCAGCTTCCAAATACTTTTCAGCCAGATAAATGCAAAGAAAAAGATAATTTAGATATATTAGGTTCATTTCATTAGGTTCACTTCAACTGCAGACAGTTTGACAGCAGACGGCTTTGCACTGATTTGGATAGGACAGTCTACAGACAAAGGACAGTCTACAGACCAGAAACTTGCCTAGTAAAACCACAAACAGCCGACAAAAGCAGAGACTGGTTTGCGACTGACTTTAGTTAATTAAAAAGACATGCAGTGTATTATTTCTAGGCTTAGTCATTGTGAATACGGTTCGTGATGCAGGCTTCGATCCCAGCAGCAGGCGATTTGGCAGTAGACGGCTTTGCATCGGTGTCAGCAGTGGTATTGAGAGCCAGCCGTTAAGAAAGCTATGGAAAATTACTGATCAAAAATTTGCCTAGATAAACCACAACAGCCAAAAATGCTGGGGTTGGTTCTGCAAATTCCTGTAAAGGATACCTAGCTAATTTATGTCTCATGTCTTCTTTTCCCTCTTTAGAATTAGGTCAACTTTCTGGTGTTGCTGCAATTTTGAGATTTCCCATGCCTGATGATGATGGCGAAGATGAGGAGGATGACTCAGAAGAGGATTGAATTGTACATCTGTAACATCTGCTACATTATTGATCTTTCTTCTACACTGTTACTTCTTTTGTGTCGCCCTTGAAAGGGCGGGTGGTACATTGTGGTTTACAGCTAGGCTGTAATTATCTACACCTTTTGACCCGCAGCAACTGGTTTCAGCAAGCCCATTACTTGCCTTTTAGGACAAGCTAGTTACTTCAGCAACACTAAATGGGGTTCCGGAACCCACACCGGGGAAAACTGTTACTGATTTCATGTTGTTACTGTACGTCGTGTATGTGGAATAAAGAGGTGGCCTGCAGAAAAGGGGAGACACATTCAAGTTTTTGTTGTAAATGTTAGTTGGAGAATAACTATTATCTTGCTGTTTTGAAAGGTTGTATTTTCACAGATCTGGCAGAGTAGTGAAAATGATTAGATTACATATATTTGTTTCAAATTTGTTAAGAGTTTCCATTGTTAACTGTTGTCTGTGTTTGGTGGAAGACCTGGGTTTGTAGCTTTTCGGTAATCTTGGGGTTTTCTGTCTGGGCAAAAATAAAAGCCTAAGCTGCACAGTCCGTGGTGCAGCACTAGTCATGCGACCCTAAATCCTCGGGCTAAATGACTTTTGCTCTCGTATTCTCATCCATGAATTTCCAGTGTTAACATGTTTTAGAATCTGCCTCTAGTGTTGAAGGTCCCGAGTTCAAGCCCTGGGGAAGGCTGGGATTTTTTCACCTGGACTTCTAGTAATTTTCCCTGGTCTCTGGGTAGTAAGATCGGACACCGCTGTGTATTGTTAAGCAGGTAACAAAATACCTTGGCAGTTGAAAATCAAAAAAGAGCAGCCTAGAGTAATTCAGGATCCTGGCCGGTGCTACAGAGTTTTTGCACTGTGCTGAGATTCTTCGGACTCGGGCTTGAGTCGGAAATAGAACGGAGCACTTATGGGTTACTACCCTTGTGCCATGATGTTTTTGAAACATGAACCAGTGTTAACAAATATCTGAGATGGGTATTCTCTTCCAAGAATTTTCAATGTTAAGAAATATCTGAGTTTATTATTCTCATCCAAGAATTTCTAAAGTTAAGAAATATCTGAGTTTATTTTTCTCCTCCAAGAATTTCTAAAGTTAAGAAATATCTGAGTTTCGTATTCTCATCCAAGAATTTCTAAAGTTAAGAAATATCTGAGTTTATTATTCTCCTCTAAGAATTTCTAAAGTTAAGAAATATCTGAGTTTATTATTCTCCTCCAAGAATTTCTAAAGTTAAGAAATGTCTGAGTTTAGTATTCTCATCCAAGAATTTTCAATGTTAAGAAATGTCTGAGTTTATTATTCTCATCCAAGAATTTCTAAAGTTAAGAGATATCTGAGTTTAGTATTCTCATCCAAGAATTTCCAGTATTATATATGTTTGGTATTGAAATGTAAATTCTCATGAAGCAAATGTTTATGTAGAAACAGTGATAGCTAGAGAAATGTAATGGATTGTTTAACAATGAATAAACATCATTTAGGCTTGGAAAGAGCCTCTGATTGAGGATTCGATGTCCAAGTCACAGAACAGATGTGTGTACTCAACATACAGATGGGTGTACTCAACATACAGATGGGTGTACTCAACATACAGATGTGTGTACTCAACATACAGATGGGTGTACTCAACATACAGATGTGTGTACTCAACATACAGATGTGTGTACTCAACACACAGATGGGTGTACTCAACATACAGATGTGTTTACTCAACATACAGATTTGTGTACTCAACACTCCAGGACCCCATTGTAGTCGCAATTCCTGATGGAGAAATAATACCATCAAAGATATAAAAAAAAAATTTGTCCATGGGGCATGAAGTAATCATTGAACACTTTCCAGGAAGACTAACCTGGTGAACAAATGCAGAAGAAGTCAGTTGTGTTGATCAAAAGGGTCACATATCGCTTCTTCTTCTGCCTTTCTAACACCCCTTCCCTCACCCCCATTGGAGCATAGCCCCTCAACCAACGCACACCAAGTCGTTCTATCCTTTGCTATCACATGCAGCTCTCCCCCTGTCCTCCCCATCTTTTTAACTTCACTCCCAGGCTCCCTTCTCCATGCTTTTTTTTTTTGTTTTCCTTTTATTTCTGTGCCTCTGTGGGTTCCAGTCCGAAGACATTCTAGTTATATTGTTCTCAGGTTTTCTCAGCGAAATTTTTGAAAATATTACTGCTATGCTGAAAACAGGCACAATGCAGTTACATCTCCTGGACAAACAAAAACCAGAATAATCGCTTAGTTTTGTGATTTTCATTACCTAGATGTAAAGATAATGATGTCTTCTTATCGTTTCTCGCCTGTAAACTCTGGAGGAAAGTTCTTTTTGTTCACTCTCTTTAGACTTTGAGTGAGTTTTGCTTGCACATCTGTTTTACAGATTTTGTTTACTTTTGGTTCCTCGCCTCTCAGACAGATGCAGTTGAATGAGTTACATTCAACCCCCACTAGGACTGCACAACAAGCAATAAACACCAGGTGACACAAAGTGCCACCACTCAGATGAGAATCGCCTGGGCGCAAGTCCCAGAAACCATGTTCAACCGATAGGTTATATTAGTGCCCCTGAGTATAGACGGGACAGGGCTTTAGAATAACAAAAAATGTGTCCCATATTAGAGCGAGGTTACGAGACAGATGCAGTCCCACTTTGGTGGGAACACCCTAAATTAGGGGCCTCTTACGACATGCTTGCTGGGGAGCAATGAGTCTGTGTTAATTCCCCCCTCCCCCCCACCCCAGAAAATAGGGCCTCAGAATCCAGAAGGTACCAGACAGTGGTATAATAGTACAGGTGCTTCCAGTCAGAGACAGGGTGAAAGAGTTGTTTGTTTGTTTTAATATCCAGAAGCCATGAGTTGTTAACCCTTAGGCTCGGTATTATGGATATCGCAACCTTTCGGCCTTGATTTCATTGTAAATACCGTAAATCTGGGAGAAATGTGGCTTTTCTGCCTACCCGGGGGTGAACCCGGACCACAAGGAGGAGTTCGTTACCCGGTCTCCGCTCAATCCGGTTTAGCCAACTATGCTAGAGAGCCGGGCGGGTGAAAGAGTTAAAGGTTAAAGTCAAAAGGATCGACTTCATTGCACCGGTTTTATCCCATATGGCTCACTCTCTCTCCGGAGAAAGGCTAGCCGCCTGCCAAGAGCATCGCACAGACCATAAACTCTGTAGCTTCAGCGACCATCGCTAAAGATCTTCATAAAAATTGCACTTGTGAACTGAAGGGCCCAGGCATGGAGCGAACCCACGACCTTCAGAACGTGAGGCATATGGCTTGACCACTTTGCCATGGAGTAGTTTTAAGTGATAGTGAATACTTGGATGGCATGTTTGATAGGAGGACATTTTGTTTGACCTCTGTGTCTGGAATGAGCGAGCCAAAATTAAAGATACGTTCTTGTGATAAACTTGACTTTTGATTTTTGTATTAGGAGTTCCACACTGCTTTGTGTACAGTGTTGACTACTGGACCAGTGTTCTCTTCCTAATGGGGATGTTAGTGTGAACTGTTTTAGAGAAACTAGCATTCGGTGCATGATGGGTACAACGTTAAGTCGGCTGACATGATTTCCTCAGTTGTCAGTTGATGCAGACATAATCTCATTGAAGAATTGAAATACTGACTTAATCCTGAATTAGTTGCCTTGTAAGACATTCTTGTTGGATTCAGAAAGGGGGGGGGGGCAGTTGGTCGATCCCTTTCCTCCCCCAGTGAGTACCAGCCTCTACATGGGGGGGGGGGGGGGGGGGGGGGTCTACAGTAAACATTTTGTTTAGTAAAAAAAAAAAATCCTGTTAGCTGCACAACCACCTTGCCCCAACAGCTGGGCAGCCTTCCTTCAACATCATGTCTCTGTACATCCTGTCTTTATAATTTTTTTTAGCATTCAGAAGCCATGAGTTATTAACCCTTAGGCTCGGTACTATGGATATCGCAACCCTATCGGCCTTGATTCCATGATAAATACCGTAAATCTGGGAGAAATGGGGCTTTTCTGCCAACCTCTGGGCGCGAACCCGGACCACAAGGAGTTCGTCACCCGGTCACCACGCAATCCGGTTTAGCCAACTACGCTAGCGAGCCGGGCGTCTTTATAATATAAACAGAACTAGCGTATTGACAGTTTGGAATCCATCCAGCACAGTTTGCTGTCTGATGTCCCATCTAACTAATCATCATCATCATCATCAGTTCTCTTTTTGCCTAGTGGCACATGCAGTTTCAGAGAGGACATTCCAAGCTTTTCTGTCCTGTGCGAATCTTCAGTGCAGTTTTCCATGTCAGAAATGCCGCACTCAGGTCACTCTCCATCGTTCGTCTCCATGTTGTTTTTGGGCGCCCCTTTTTTTTCTCTTTCTCTCTCTCATCTATGTGAGAGCTGTTTTAGCAGGTATATCAGGATTCATTCTCATAACGTGGCCAAGACTCTGTTGTTGTTGTTTTTTTTTTTATTGATTATCATACTGTCTAGAGTTTCTTGGTTTGTGGCTTGAAGTAGTTTAGTGTTTGATATTGTATCCGGCCAGACTTTTTTTTTATAATTCTACATAGTCGTGTGTGGTGAAAGGTGGTAGTCATGTGTGCTGGAAGGTTGGTAGTCATGAATGGTGAAAGGTGGTAGTCATGTGTGGTGAAAGGTGGTAGTCATGTGTGGTGGAAGGTGGTAGTCATGTGTGGTGGAAGGTTGTAGTCATGTGTGGTGGAAGGTGGTAGTCATGTGTGGTGGAAGGTGGTAGTCATGTGTGGTGGAAGGTGGTAGTCATGTGTGGTGGAAGGTGGTAGTCATGTGTGGTGGAAGGTGGTAGTCATGCGTGGTGGAATGTGGTAGTCATGTGGTGAAAGGTGGTAGTCATGTGTGGTGGAAGGTGGTAGTGATGTGTGGTGGAAGGTGGTAGTCATGTGTGGTGGAAGGTGGTAGTCATGTGTGGTGGAAGGTGGTAGTCATGTGTGGTGGAAGGTGGTAGTCATGTGT